CAGAGTGGACCATATGGCTGATCCCACTATGAGACACGACGTCCCTCGCTGACCCATGGCCCTACAGGGGACAACACAGCAGGCTCAGTGTCGGAACTGGCCCGGACTGACCCTGTAACACCGAGGCACGAGGCAGAGCAATGGGAGGAGCAGAGCAAGGAGCTCCCGAGGGAGTGCAAAGGATAGACTCTGGGGCCAGAGCATGGCACCCCATCGGACTTGACTAGAGGTCACACACCTAGAGGTCAAAATTCAGACCTTGATCTATTTACAGGCTTTTCTTTCTATGTTTAATTTTTTCTTTTTCTGTTTGTTTTTTAAATTAATTTATTCTTTTCTAGGCAACAAAGATTTGCAGTCTCAGAAACCCTAAGTAGGTCCACTTTGAGTTAGCATTGGCTCAATGGCAGTGAGTTTGGGTTTGAGTGGTGACATCTATTTACAACATGTTCCTTCCCTTTGGGGCGACGGAGGGTTAGGGTTTCCTGTGTTCTCTAACCGATCATTGAGAGGTAACCAAAGTTAACAAGCATGCAAAACTGATGGCAGACAGGCAAATGTGAGCTGTTAGACAGGCGTTTGACCATGCCTGGCAATTCTCCTTCTACTCTGCATCTTGACTGCATAACCCACCTCGGTTCAAGGTGAACAGTGGGCTCAGTTACAGGACTCTGCTTCCCAAGCTCCCCTTGGACCTAGGGGCCAGGTTTGTGACATGGTTCTGGCTAATGAGATGGCGACAGAAATCGAAAGAACCATGTCATAAACCTGGCCCCTAGTTCAGGAGAGCTTTTTACATGAAAATAAAATGCTGTTTGTTTTTCATTTTTTCCCCCCTTTCTGGTTTATCGCACCACTGAATGCAGTCCCTTCTCTTACATAAATGGGCTAGGCGCTCACCCTGTGCTTCCATGTTCCCTTGGTGAGAATTTATCAAGTTCACGCTTCTTCCCGATGAAATCGAGATGTCACAGGAATTGGACAAGCAGCCTCCTTTGCCTGGGGGCCGAGGTTCTTAGTCAGGCCGTGTGGAGTAGCTTTCAGGGAAATCACTGCCAAGTCCACGGCACTGGGAAGATTCAGTGGGACACAGGCAGTGGTGGGATTCAGCCGGTTGGCACCGATTTGGCAGAACCAATCAAAACCTAATTTTGTGTTGGTTTTGGTGAACCAGTTGTTAAAATGGCACTTTTAATCAGGATTCTCTCTAAGGTGGGCAGTTGGGCAGCCTCCCAATGTGGAAATCACAGATTTACATTCCTTGCTTTTTTAATGTTCATCTGTGTAACGGCACATTCTGAGCACCCACAGTAATGGTCATTCTGTCCATAGGTATGAAAAAATTAGATGGAACTATGCTTGTAACTTATTTATTCCTGTTGTAAAACTCATTATACTTTTGATAAAGCACTACACTCTTATCCTGTTGCATGTTCCTTCAGTAGACAGACACTGGATGTAAAGAGAAAAATGCTGGACAACCAAAAGGCGACACCCTGTCATTCCTCTAAGCTTGGGGTGAAGCTCCAAGTTCCCGTGAGATATTATGAGTGAATTATGCAATGCGAAAATGTTCAAAGAGCTAAAAGTGCCGTCAGAACAATTGCTGTACATTCGGCAGAAGCAGAAAGGGGTTTTCAAAGATGAACAAAATGTATTCAAAGCAGAGAAGTTGCCTGTTTCAATATATCAAACACACGACAATTGTCTATCTAATTGGCCTCCCTCTCAAGGAATGGGACCCCAC